CATCTCGTCTCATTTTCATTTCATCTCATTATCATTTCATCTCATAATCATTTCATCTCATAATCATTTCATCTCATAATCATTTCATCTCATAATCATTTCATCTCATAATCATTTCATCTCATTATCATTTCATCTCATTATCATTTCATCTCATTATCATTTCATCTCATTATCATTTCATCTCATTATCATTTCATCTCATTATCATTTCATCTCATTTTCATTTCATCTCATTATCAATTCATCTCATTTTCATCTCATTATCATTTCATTATCATCTCATTTTCATCTCATCCCCTTTTTATCCCCTTTTCATCCCCTTTTCATCCCCTTTTCATCCCCTTTTCATCCCCTTTTCATCCCCTTTTCATCCCCTTTTCATCCCCTTTTCATCCCCTTTTCATCTCTTTTTCATCTCATCTCCTTTTTATCTCTTTTTCATCTCATCACCTTTTCATCTTTATATCATCACCTTTTCATCTCATTATCATCACCTTTCCATCTCATTATCATCACATTTTCATCTCATTATCATCACCTTTCCATCTCATTATCATCTCATTTTCATTTCATCCCCTCTTTATCTCCTTTTTATCTCCTTTTTATCTCCTTTTTATCTCCTTTTTATCTCCTTTTCATCTCTTTTTCATCTCATCTCCTTTTCATCTCTATATCATCTATCCCTTTACCTATCTCTATACCTATCTCCATACCTATCTCTACCTATCTCCCCTATGTCTATACCTTTTCATCTCATTATCATCACCGTTTCATCTCCTTTTCATCTCCTTTTCATCTCCTTTTCATCTCCTTTTCATCTCCTCTTCATCTCCTTTTCATCTCCTTTTCATCTCCTTTTCATCTCTTTTTCATCTCATCTCCTGTTCGTCTCCTTTTCGTCTCCTTTTCGTCTCCTTTTCATCTCTTTATTCGTGTCTTAGTGAGGGCATTTACATCCAAGTAAGCACTTCCACTTTAGTTCGAATTCATACCAACAGGATGCAAATGATTCAAAAATTATATGAGCTACATTAAATAATTTTTCAATTAATTATAAATCTGCATACATATTAAATTTGGAAAGTCCCTTTTTATTACCTCATCCATTTAAATTGGCAAAGAAAAATGTTGGCATTTGGAAATTTAATAAAATTGTATACGGTAAAGTAAAAAAGTATGTGTACAAGGGAGTAAAAGGGAGGTATGGATATGTTTATAAACTTCAGATACTAGTTCAAATAAAGCACAGTCACCGATTAAATTTAAGCAAATGCTTTAGTTTAAAGATGACTCATTAACTTTGGCAAAAACGGCACCGCCATCTGCTGTAGGATTCGACGTGACATTATCAGGGGCTTCATGTTGTAATGATTGCAAATCAAATTAATTTCGAATGAAAATAGCTTTAGATAATGGAGTCCGTCCTCTCTCATCCGTATATCCCCTATCATGTCTTACCCACAAGTATTCATAATGGAGTTGATATTGCCTTTGAGATGCTAAAAAGTGTAGCTTGCTCCGATGAGCAGTCAGGCTAGGACATAGGTAAATAAGAGCACTGGACGTACATTGCAACTCTAAATTGTACACCTGAACTTGCTGTATATTTTCCTTTGATTCAAAAAATTGTTTCTATAAAATCTCCGGGCGAATTCAATGATTCATGTAGGCAGTGTGCCATATTGTTCAATGGCATCAAGCTCTATTTTTATTAAATTGTATTATTACATTAAATTATATTATTTATTAAATTTCTACTGCACTTTTAGTGTCTCAATTCCACTCTCTACAACGGAATTCCGCCCCCCCCCCCAAGTCACTTTTTTTCCTTAATCATCCTCTATTCTCTTTAATAATTAATTTATGCCAGAGAAAGGGGCATTTTAACCCTAAAACAAAAATCGTATTGATGAAAAAGATAGGGATAAGGAGCTCTAATTTATTGCTAGGAAAAATAACTACCAATTGTGCAACTATCATTACTAATTAAAAAGAAGAGAAACGATATGAAGATAATCATATGAAGTCACATGAATGGATGGGAGTTATTGGTGAAAGAGGAGGGAATAGAATTTTCGTGAGCATTGTGCGTTTGAAATATCAAGAAAAGTAAAGAAGATAGTAGTCCCATACCTACTCATTAGACCTGTACCCATCCACTCCCTAACAAAAATTAAATGAAAAAAAAAACAGAGATGAGGAAGAGGTTTTAATTATTCGTCCCGCCATCATGGACCCCTGACAACTCAGACATGTTTTATCTACCGAAGGGGTTTTCTCTACCGCCCTCAGGCCTTGCCGTGAACCCGGATCCTGGGTCATTGGTTTCGGCCTTCAACGGATGCCATGGCTGCAGACCGTCCAACGGAAGTGCAAGCACTACTGCGACCCCGAACCAAAAGCTGCGGTATCGTGCGCCCCCCGTTCTAATAATACTGGGCGTTAGAATATTTAAAATCCCTAAGACCACTTTATTTGGGAGGGGGAGGGACTGAAAAGTAAGGTACGAAAGTTAATTGAATTTTTGTTCTTTTCTTCTTTCTCTCCATCCTGTTCTTCTTTCTTTTCTCTTTTTCTCTCGTTACTTCCTGCTCTTCTTACTCTTTTCTTCCTGCTCTTCTTCTCTCTTTTCTTCTCTCTTTTCTTCTCTCTTTTCTTCTCTTCTTTCTTCTCCCTTTTGATCTCTCTTTTAATCTCTCTTTTAATCTCTCTGTTGATCTCTCTGTTGATCTCTCTGTTGATCTCTCTTTTGATCTCTTTTTTCATCTCTCTTTTCATCTCTCTTTTGATCTCTCTTTTGATCTCTCTTTTGATCTCTCTTTTGATCTCTCTTTTGATCTCTCTTTTGATCCCTCTTTTGATCTCTCTTTTCATCTTACTTTTCATCTCACTTTTCATCTCACTTTTCATCTCTTTTATCATCTCTCTTTTCATCTCTCCCCCTATCTCTCATCTCTTTTTACCTCTTTTTCTTCTCTTTTTTTCTACCTCTTTTTCTTCTCTTTTCTTCTCTTTTTTCTACCTCTTTTTCTTCTCTTTTCTTCCATCTCTTTCCCTTCCTCCTCTTCTCTAGCAGAATAAATCTCACTTAATTGATAAAGTTTTTTGATGCAAGAAGCTACGCACAATCAATGGCAAATCTTGAGACGTCCAAGCGCTGCAAAATTTCTAAATTTAAGTTCGAGAAAGGAGCATTGCAGCCCCAGAACGAAAATTGTTTAAATGAAAAATAATATATTGCTGTGGAAATTATGTAACAAGGATGAAACTATCATTACTAATTTAAAAAAATGGGAACGAAGTGGAGATTGTCGTTAGAATGTAGAATGAAGATAATAATATGACAAATTTCATTTTAAATTTTCTTTATTTTCCAAACGTAGAACACTCACGAAAACTTTAATAATCCCTCTTTCACCAATAACCCCCCTCCATTTAGATGACTTCGTACGATCGAAACGAGATACGCGGTCTAGTAGGTTCACCGTCGTCGTTTGATAGATATATCCCTGCCGCTCAAGAATTAAAAAACTGAAATCTTTTTAATAACATTACTTTATTCCTAATTATGTAAAATTATATTTTGCAATGAGGAATTAATATTATAGGCTCATTTCTAAAACGGCGCACATGTGTCACTAGTGTTGCGTTCCCACGCAGAAAGGCGTGCCTCTTCTTTCTCTTTATCGTCCTTTTTTCTCCATCCTCTTCTTTTTTTTTTGTTCTTCCTCGTTTCTCTCTACTTCCGTTCAATCCTCTTAAATCTGTACATTTTGCACCTCTTTTTTTTACTCTTGTTCATCTCCTTCTTTCACTTTCCGTTTTTTCCCTTCTTCTTTTCCTGATTTTACTTTCCCTTCTTCCTCTCTTGGACCTTTTTCTTCTTTTTCTCCCTCTTCCTCGAATTATTCTTCAATCTCTCTTTCCTCACCTCTCTTTCCTCATCTCTCTTTTCTCATCTCTCATTTCTCATCCTCTTTCCTCTCTTCTTTATTCTCTTATTCTTCTTCCTCCTCTTCTTTTTATCTTTCCACCTTTTTTTCTTCTCTTTCTCTTCTTCTCTTCCTCCTATTTTCTATCCCTTTCTCCCCTCTCTCGACCCCCCCACCCTTTCTTCATAGTCTTTTACTTCACTCTCTCCCGTCTCCTTATTACTATCTTCTTTCTCCTCTTTTGTCTCGCTTCTCTCTGTTCTTCTTCCTCTTCTCTTTTGTCTCGCTTCTCTCTGTTCTTCTTCCTCCTCTCTTTCCTCCATGTTTTCTTTCTCTTTTCTTTCTTCCTATTCTTCTCTCTTTTCTCTCTTTTCTCTCTTTTCTTTCTTCTCTCTTTTCTCTCTTTTCTTTCTTCCTATTCTTCTCTCTTTTCTCTCTCTTCTTTTATATCTTTTTCTTACCTCTCTTAGTATTCTTTTTCCTCCTTCTCTTATTATTCTTTTTCCTCTTCTTCTCCTCTTCAAATGGAAGATCACTTTGACTTGCCCTATACATATAGATGCTTTCACGAATGAGCCAGAAATAGTAGTTCCTTATTGCATAATGTAGTATTAAGATCACCAGGAAATCCAGTAGCCATAGTAATTAACTTCTGAAATTGGTTTTTAAGCAGCTGGTACATGTTAGCAAATGCATGACAAGCACTCGGCGTTGTAAAGAAATGGGCAATCCATGCAGGAGCCAAAAGTTCGCGGCATTTAGACGGTCATCAAATGTAACGTTCAAAGTAAATCAAGCTTTTTATGGCAGAAAAAAAATAATCCCGTGTCGATCTTTTAAATAGCGCAATATTCAAATAGTAAACCCTAGTCCATCAAACGAATTTTTGTAACGGGTGTGGTAGATAAGTGGGAAATGTGCAATTCATGAAAATTTAAAATATTAATGATTTCAACTAAAACTAGTCTCCAAAATATACCCTGTGAAAAATTCACTGCTAAAATCTAATTTTTCAGCATCAAAAAATGAGTTTTAACTTTCTATTCGCCACAAGGCTCCATGTAATTTTGAACAATGAAACACGTATTTCTTGAACTAGTAAAAACAGCACTTTTTGCAAGTGTCCTTCAAGCCCCTTACTTAAAAGAGGTCAATTTAATCAGTTTTTGAGATTCACCTGTTTATTGCTTTTCATCCCTCTTTTTCAAGTTTGCATTCACTTAATAATTGAGGCCTTAATTTTGATTTTTGCAAGTTCCAAAAATACCCTGCAATTTGGAGGGTATGCAACCTGCTTAGTTTTTCATCAATGCAATTTGTGTAACCCTGTTTGGTGTATGATGCTGAATACATTTGAATTTTTCCCTCCCTTTCGCCGCCATTGCGGGGAATTGGTTAACGTTACTTTGAGGAAGGTCTTTATAATTTTCCTCGGACTCGTTCATAGGTGGACATATTTGAATCAAAAGAAAATATTTCCATTGTGACAAGAGCCCCGCTATGCTTTAATTCGTGCGACTGTGAGTGTCAAAGCCCAGGTTACGATGAAGACAGTTCCTTTTGATTGAGATACGTTCATAAATGGAAGCCTTCAAGCTCAATTAGTCCAACTCCAAAATGTGGCCTATATTACTCTCACGATTTATTTCATTTGATAGAAAATAAAATTAAATGCTGCCGTTAAATTCAAAAAGTATGCGCTTTTGCAAAATCTGGGAATTTCTTACTTTCAAGACATTCCGTTCTCCAATTTTTCGGGTCTACTAAGACAGAATATCAGAAAGAATTTAATTCGAAAACGACCCATCTCGGAAAAATGACATTTTTTCAGGAGACGATAAAAACCACGCAACAGTCAGAAAACGAGTGTTTCAGCGAATAACAATAAACATTGTAAATAACCCGGCACAGTGCTCCTGAAGGTATACTACAAAAGCTCACTTCGAAAAATTGAGAGAATAGACAAATAGTCGGTTCGTTCGCCTTTCATCCTGAGAGTTGGAGGGAGTTGGAGAGATTTTACCGTAATGAAGTGATGATCTGTAAATTCAGGAACGGTTCTGGTGCAGAGTGAACATTTTCCGTCTTTGCGCACCGCCTTGACGAAGGTTAGAGACGAAAAAAATATTGACTGTAAAAGAAAGAAATGAATGCTTTATTAGATAAATCCAAAATAAAAATGCCATAAATATAATATTATCGTTCCCATGGAGCATAGAGCAACGGAAATTTGAAAGAATGGTACAAGTCAATGGAAAAAATTACAATTTTTTATCATTTAAATTGTGTTATTTTTAAATTTTTTGGTTCATAAAGTCCCATCATAAACGATCTAATAGTTTTATGAGTGAGGCCGTTAGGCAATTCGAAATACAAAAAAAGTGCAACTTATCGCGACTAAGAGAAGTCCCTTCAAACAAAGAATGGACAACATATTCAACACTCCGATTTCATAGCAGTAATTTTACTATGTAATCGCAATTGATTGAAACCTGTGCTGCTTTGACTTGCTAAGACTCAAACAAATGGAATTTTACACTGACCACAATGATTGCTCATCTGTGCACAAATTGTGAGTCTTAACTTGTTAATTTAAAAAAAAAAAAAAAAAAAAAAAAAACATTCCATTTCCACAGCCTGTAGGAGGAAAAAGGCTTTTACCGGGCGCCATTTTAATTTGAATTCTTACTCCACGCGGAACTTAATATGTCTCTCACATGCCCTAGTCATACCACAGAAAAATTGAAAATACGAACGTGTGAAAAATAGGGATGAACAATGAAAATGGGGCCGGGGTGTAAGACGCCGCCGTGAGATCAGGCCAAAATTAAAAGATAATTTCCTGTAAAAGCCTGTTCCTCATGGAGACTGTACGCTCTGCCTTAGAAGGGCTGATAAGTCCCTGAGGTTTAAAACGCATCGCGGAAAATAAACACAAAAGTTTCTATGTATAGTCGGTACGTAATTCTGACTCTGAAACTTTGAAATTTGCGCGAGAAACGATCGCGGAGAGAGCCTGCAAAACTGTAGGTATACTACACGCATCGCGTCATCTCACCTACGCACGGCGCACAGTGGATCGAGTCAACAGGAGTGGTCGGACAAAGGAAACTTTAACCGCGTATAACTCCGTTTATACAAAACTTTCAGGTCTAAAAAGTGGCTCCATTGATTTCCTCGAGAAATTCGCTTCTGAAAATGCCCCTTGAAATGTATAATGTGTCGAAATAAACACCAAAAATTGCAGTTTTGGTCCAAAATTTCATGTCCGACCTCTCTAATGGAGAATTTGCACGCAATTTTTTTATTGCTTCATCTGAAAGTGCCTAATGAGCTGAGTTCGCAATATTTTTCATAATTTTTTTCTGACATGGGAAATTGGAGAAAAATTGATTTAAAAGTGAGAAAATGTGCCGCCTTGTGACGTCATCTGGCGGCATTTCCCATTTAAACACATGTATTTTAGCAGAATCGGTTATTTTGTCATATCTCCTCTAATAATTGCTCAATTTATGAATCACAAGGGTATCTTCGTGTTCAGTTCACTCAGAGGATTCCACTTAAACAGGAAATTCATCAAATTTCAGACCCTTGCAAATTCTCCATTGACTCGATCCACTCTGCGGCGCGGCGGAGTCTGGCTCTTGGGTTGGCTCTTGACCCATCCAACTTTTCTACTCCTGCGTTAAAGTCTTAGCGTCAGCCGAGAACAAATTCTCCTTGCTTTTGTCGATATGCAATTTCATCATCTTGCAAGTCGAAATATTTATATCATGCGTTCTGCCCTATCAAACTTTTCTGCCCCTACGTATATGGCCGGAAAGAGTTCTTCATTTTGTCGATATGGAATTTTATCATTCTTGAAGTCGAAATAGCTGTATCACACGTTTTGCCCTAATACCCTATCAAACTTTTCTGCTCCTGCGTTGAAGTCTCTAATTGTAAGTCAGCCGGAAAGAGTTCTTCTTCATTTTGTCGATTTGCAATTTTATCGTTTTGGAAGTCGAAATAGTCGTGTTAAGCGTTTCGCCCCATCCAACTTCTGTGCCTAGATATTTTTGTGGCGATCTTCGGTGCGGACACAGCCTTTAAGTTTCTAAGTCAGCGGAAAAAAAATGCTCCTTCATTGCGTGGACACGCAATTACACCTACTTGGAAATCGAAATGGTTCAGTGGCGTGGCGTGAATTGCGATGTATCGATTGTTTTGCTTTTTAGACCAATGATAAAGAATAGATTATTAAGATGTTCGCTGCGAATACCCTGTTTATCGATCATTTTCCATAGGTTTAAATGGCATAACAATAGATTTATCGCAAAGCACGCCACGCCACTGAAATAGTTGCGCCCCGCGTATAGCCCCATCAGATTTTTCCACTCTGTGTTAAAAGTATAAGTCAGCGGAAAAGAGAACAAACTTTTTTTTCATTGTTGCTGATATGCTAGAAAGATTTGTTGCTTCATGACTATGACCGGACTGAGAAAAGGGACCTCATCTGCCACAAAATAATTCTAGAAAACTTTGAACTTTGCGCCAAAAACGATCACCGGAAGTGCCTGCAAAACTGATAGGATACTTCAAACATCGCTTGATCTCTACCCGATCTCCAGTTAAGGTCTCGACTCTTGCTTGACTCGCGATTCGCGCTAATGCTGCCATGCTAAGGAAATACGCCGTATGAACATTCGAGAGTTGCCTTTCCTTCGACAAAATGTCTATTTTTGAGGAGAGTTATGAATATTTTTACTTCAAATTTTCAGAATCTTAAGGTGAAATTGCAAACAAGATTCTCTGAAAAATTGGAAGAAAAATATCCATAAGTTATATTTACCACGCTGGAAAAAAACGCATTAAATCTAGAATCCAGACTCTTGAAAACATTGACAAGAAGAAATACTCTTGATTCAATCAGATTTTTGCCTAAATCAAAAGAAAATCCGCTCAAATTAAGAGGCTTGGTTCTTGATTTAAGCAAAAATCCGATTGAATCAAGAGTATTTTTTCTTGTCGATGTTTTTAAGAGTCTGGACTCTAGATCCAATGTGTTTTTTTTTCCAGTGCAGGGAATTCGTGTTTTTCATGAACATTCGAGAGTTGCCAAATTTCATTCGATAAAATGTTCATTTTTGAGGAAAGTATTTTACGATTTCCTTGAAATTTTTAGGAGCTTTAGATCAAACTACGAACAAAATCCTCTGAAAAATTGGAAGAAAAATATTCACAAGTTATTTACCGCACTCAAAAAACAAGTATGGGAAGAGTGACTTGCCGGCCGAGTTATGGATCATGGAGCCATCGAGTATAGTTCGTGAAGCCATGCTTATAGGTTCACGACCAATAAAGTATGGCTCAGAAAGCCATACTGTAGACGGTAAGTCACTTTGGTTAGAAATTATGGATCTCCGAGCCATTTTTTAAGGGTCTCAGAGTCGTACCTTTTTTTGAGTGCGGGGAATTCGTGTTTTTCAAACACAATTTGGCAACGTCTGAAGATTTATACGGCGTTCTTCTTAGCACGGCAGAATGGGTCAGTTGCGCTGGTCACAAAATCGTGTTTTATGCTTTATCCTTGCAGATCAACTAAAAATAATAAGATCTGTCCGAACAGCAACTTTCTACGTTGCATATTAACTAGATATAGCGCCTTGGCAAACCCGATATATGACGTCATCCCCTGCGTTAGTACATACCATGTTATGCACATAGAGTACATAGAGTCGTAATGCAAGTGGGAGAGCTGGCGCCACTTTAAGGCATTTTCCGGGTCCCGAATTCCGAGATTCCTGTGCGGCGCCGGGTCCCTTTTTCGATACATAATCGATTGTTTGCGATACACGGGGACCCGGCCATATTCCACACCGCCATTTTGGATCGAATTTGTATCGAAAAAGTGACCCCGCACACCGGGCTCGGAACTCGTCGAGCAGAACATGGCGCCACCTTTCCTACTTATATTACGATTCTAAGTACTCTATGGTTATGCACTATACCGCGGTGGATGACGTCAAAAATCCGACTTTTCAAAGGTAGGTATCTCGGTTAATATTCAACGTAGAAAGATGCTGTTTGGGCAGATCTTCTTAATTTTAGCTGATCTACAAGAATCAAGCATTAAAACACGATTCTCCCAGATAAGAGAGGAATATTTAGCCAATATTTAAACAATATTGTTTTGGTATTTATGCAAACATTGGGCCAATATTGGTTAAATATTGAGCCAATGTTACAATCGTACACCATCTTTCCTTTTGGCATAAATACTGTGCCAATACTTTGGCTGAAAATACTGTGCCAGTACTTCAAAGGGAAAGTATTTGGATATCAATATTGAGACAATACTACACCAATATTGAATCAATTTAGGGGTTCGCAGCTAGGGGATGGTGGAAAAGGGTTAATTGAGGAAATAATTTTAAAAACCATGAAAAATAAAAATAATGAAACCACTGGGATGTTATTGAATCGATTTTGCAGATTAGAAATTTATCATCCACCTTGAGGATTGAACCCGGGACCTACCTAACACTGACCGACGACCCTACCGATTGAGCTTCACTAGACGATGTTTCTAAGTGACTTAAAACCGGTATTTAACGTCGAGTTGGACGGGCAACTAGGATATTTTCCATCTGCCTGGATTTGTCCGTGTATTTATTTTACTTTTTACTTTACTATATTTTTTAAATTTATTTTATCGTTTTACTTTGTTTTATTTCCTTGCCGACTCTATTTTTTTCTTCACTCTATTTTTTTTTTTTTCAAGCACTTCATTTTTTTTCTTTAATTATTTACTTCTTATTCCTTTACTTTGTTTTGTTTTACTGTAATTTATTTTAATACTTCATCATAATTTTTTTGACTTCAGTTAATTCTTTAAATTCATTCTATTCTTTAACCTCATTTAGTTTTTTCCCTTACACTTTATTTTTTCTTCATCTCAGTTTTTTTACTTCATCTCCTTGCTCCCTCTAATGTTTTACTTCAGTTTAGTCTTTGACTTCATTTTATCATTAATTTGATTTACTTCATTTTATTTCTCTTCTTTTGTCTCTGTTATTCTATTATTTCCACCATTCTATTATTTTATTTATTTTTTTCTCTTTAAATTTTTCATCGACATTCTGAGATGCA